AGAACATATCCCATTGTCAAGCAACACATTATTCTCTTTAACCATTTCATCAGCCAATACTTTCTTGTTTACTTATGTGTTTTTTTTATTGACCATTTCCTTCCCACACAGTGTGAAATCTTGGAGATTTTGAATATTTCGTCTGCTTATTGTCATAAAGCCAATGTTTAGGACAGCGTCTTGTATACAGAAGTCCAACAAATAAGTATTCACTGAAAGAATGAATTACACGTTTCGCTTTTGAAAGTTTGATCACTCTACTCATTAAATATTTAATAAGAAAAGGGTGAAATTATTCACTGTGTTCAAGTAAACTATAAATAAATACATTCAAGATTTAAGGACTATAAAGTTCTGTTTAATTGTGTATACTATATAAGGTTCAGAGTCATTTCATATAATTGTACTTCAGGAAAACAATACAGTTTGTGTTCCCTGATTCAGCTCCACAACCCAGCTGTGACATCTGCTCTGTGACAGAAGTCAAGTTCTAAGACTTTGTTCCAACCAGATCAGAGGGCAAACTCCACTTACCTTTCCAGTATCTCCATATTGCTGCCCATACTTGAGGAAATAGAAGTTATAAGAGTGAAAACAATGCCAGGCATGATTTCTAACCACAGAAAAGGATTATCTCTCCTACAGTTAGTTTGGCACATGTAACAGTCATGTTTCTAGTGCCTAGTAGTGATAAAATTGAATTTGTGTATACGTTGTGCTTTACTGTATATATGCATCTGTATGTATGTACACAGGTGTGTGTATAGATTTATGGTTATGTTTGTACACACTTTCATATCCTTTAAGATCTTTATGATCCTCAAACAACCCATGACTTAGGTGTGACATTATGCTCACATTATAGATATAACAACATACATTTTAGGATGTATTTTACAGAAAAAAAAAATATATATGGCAGTTACTGGGGTCTGAAGTCCAGGTCTCAAACTTGGTAGGCAAGTGCTCTGCCATGTAACCTTACCACAGTGCAATTTTCCAGGGACCAGCCTTGGACTACAGTCCTCTTAGCTACAACTCCAGAGTATCTTGGATTACAGTTGTGCACCAAATTGCCTGCCTCACTTTTTGAAATAAGGTCTCACTATTTGCCTAGGCATACCTCAAATTGCAGCCCTTATATTTTGTCCTGCAAGAGGCTGGGATTACAGCAAAGGCCATCTACTCAGCCACCATATATTTTCTTTGCAAGGATTCTCAACAGCCATTTTGACTGACTCCAAGCACCTTGATTTTATTGATCATTTTCAAAAAGAGTGAATATAGGAAATATGACCACATTTAGTGTCTTCAGCCAGGAAAATGAGGACAGATACTCCTGGCTACTTATGTTGTTATCTCTAACACTTGGTTTTGCTATCTTAATGAAGTAATCAAAAATGACCCTGGCCAGGAAAACAGAGTTCTTTGTGACTAGATGTCCTTTCATTGAAGCAGAAGTATGTTTATTGTGTGGCTCCCCATAGAAACTTGGGAAACAAAGTATCAACATCCCAGTGAAGAAATGGGCACATGAAATAAATGGAATTCTCAGAGGAAGAGGTACAAATGGCCAATAAATACATGAAGAAGTGTACAACTTCATACTCAAACTCATACATAGAACATGTTTGTAATAGTGGAACTACTCTATGTAACTTGAGGAAAGAGGGAAAGAAAAAGAATGATGAGCATCAACATTATCGTAAAATATACTATCTGTAAAGGAAGAGGACATAAGGATCTGTATTGAAAGCTGTTGAAAAATTGGATGGGGGGAGGTAAAAAGGGTAAGGGAGAAAAGTGGAAGGGGTTGAACAGACCAAAGTGAAGTATACCCGCAGCAAGGATACACTGAGAAACCCCTTTGAACATCAGCTTAAAAATTAATAACAAAAGACAGGACTGTGGAATAGGTACAGTGTGTGTGTGTGTGTGTGTGTGTGTGTGTGTGTGTGTGTGTGTGTGTGGAGGGGGTATTTGTGGGAGGGAAGAAGGTGAATGTAGGAGATTAAAGTGAAGTTGTATGGTTGATGGACTTCATATACTTAGATGAAATAGAACAAATAAACTTCTTGCAACTATTTTAAGTGGGTCAGGGAAGGAGTTGAGTGGGGAAAGATAGTGGGGGTAATCTAACCAATGTAAAATATAAGCTTATTTGGCATTGTCACTATGAATCCACCCGATACAATGTATATATCCTAATCAATTAAAAAATTGGGAAAGATGACTCAACTTATCAATGAGAAGTCAAATAGAATGCCCATAAAATTCCTATTAGCAGGAGGTGAACACAAAGGAAACCTTTGGTAATTAAGAATGTTACAGAAGCTTGCAGTTATTTATGTCATTGTGGGTGTTGTTTTTAGCAGCATTTTCATCTAAAAAACATATCCCTTCACTTTGGCCTCACAGGAGGCAGGTCTTCCAGAAAAATTTAACTGCAGCTGGTTTCAGTTAAAGGTACTTTGAGCAGTGGGCATTTCAGAAAAAAGTTGGTGGCCAGCTATTCTCTTCTAGCACAGGGACATGATCCTAGCCTCCCTGGATCTGATGACCAAATGTCTCCAATCTACCACCTCAGATCTGTTGTTCTAAGTGCAAGCAAGGGTGGGAATTATTCCTGATTTGTGATTAATGAGGGTTTGCATGGGTTTGGCAGTTCAGGGAAATCTTTTATGGCTATAGGAGATATTTAGGTATTATCCAATAATCTTAAGGACCCTGTTCACACTATGTTTCTTTTTCACTGTAGTTCTCTCTCTGTCTCTCTGTCTCTCTCTCTGTCTCTCTCTCTCTCTCCCTCTTTCTCTCTCTCTCCCCTTTCTCCACTACTCCCCTGCAACACAATGGTGGCCAGCTGCTCCACCCAGCTCTTCCCCCTCTCTGCCTGCAGCTGAACTGCTTCAGAACTCTAGTTGGTCCAATCCTGAGAGTCCACACCAGAGGCAGCTCCCTGGTTCAGTGATAACATTCCATCCTCAGCTGCCTCAGATTCAAACTTTGGCCGTGGTCACCCCTAGGATCTGACTGTACTCTATGAGTTGCTAAGTGACTTTCTGAACTTTTATTCTGAGAAATAGAATTAATTCTGGCTCAACCTAATGCTGTTGTATTGGGAAGGGTGGGGAGAGGGTGTAACATAGCAATATTTCCTCAAGGAGGGATTTTCTGGGCTTATGATCTGGAACTAAAGACTTTTCCTGGTAGGGGACCATGGCTGCCACTCTCTCTTCTGACTGCCACCGTTGGTGAGTATTGCTCAGCCTCAGAGCTGTTTTCCTGGCACAAACTTCCATCTGCTTTGCTCGTGTGTGAGTCTCTTGCTTTAAACTTCCTACTGGTGTTATTAGAATTATTTCCCCCTTCAGTCTAAACTTCTTCTTCCTGCCCCATTTACAGGTTTCACGGAGGCTCTTTTCCTTAGCATGGTCTCTTCTTCCCTCAGCTGCTACTGCCCTCTGTGCTGCTGTCAAAATTTGAGTAATTTACCATACTCAGTGCCTGTTTAATTGCTCAATATATCAGGTGTGGATTAACCAGTCTGATTGATTGATCTACATCTGTGAGAGTAGGGCTCTGTGTAAAAGAAACACCATTGATACAAAATGGGTGATCAGCATGGATATTCATTTGTGTTTGAGTAAACTGTGTGTGTGTGTGTGTGTGTGTGTGTGTGTGTGTGCATTTGCAGTGATGTGGACAGAAGACATGACTTTTGACAAGCTAGGGATATAATCTACCATTGAGCTGCATCTCCAGCCCTCATGTGATTTTAGTAGCGATTGGGAAAACGTAGAAGGCCTAGAAGCAGTTCTGGCAAAAGCTGCTATCTCTCTTGTGTATAGGTCACTTAGGAAAGGTTGTGGCTCTTGGGGACTCATCTGCCCCTGGGCCTATGGATAAGCACAATGGTGCAATAATGTTCAGCTTGCTCTGTGGTCCAGGAAGTGTCATTTTGGATCCTTAAGGTAGATGTTTAGTGAGAAGTTCCCTTCTTGATGCTAGAGTTTGCCACACAAATCTCATATACAGGAAGAGGCAAGCTAGCACAGGATCCAGTTCACAATGGTCCCAGTGCAGCTTCCAGTGCATTAGGACCCATGACTAGTATAAAAAGTGCCGGCAGAATTTCAAGATAAATGAGTCATCCAATAAATCATCTAAACACATAGATGCATCTCTTTGTTTGTTACCTTACCATGTACAATGTTTGTTCAAGTTTGTGATAGAATCTGAGAGATATATTTAGAACAACTCAATTTCAAAAGAGCATAATTTGTGTAGTTAATATATGCATTTGTGTGTATATATACAAGCATATATACATATGTATGCATATTAAAATATCTTAAAGACAAAAAAAATTATATGTTTCAATTTTGAACCCCAAAAGAAAGTCACAAGGAAAGTTTACCATGTAAGACTCCATTTTAAATCACATAGCTTCTCATATGCAGGTCTCAGAATACTATGCACAAAGTGACGAACAAAAGAAATTTTAAAAAATATCCTAACACAGTACTAGGAACAATACTGATGTCTATCTTTATTGACTAAGTGCTTACTGGCCAGGACTTCTCCTATGAACTGCACATGTACTAATCCACATTTGAGATTCAGGTATTTTGGTTCTTATTTTGGAAACAGCATGCTGAGTGTCAGAGGGTTAAAATTATGACATCTATCCAGTATCCCTAAGAAGGATCATATTAATAGTTTCTGTTAAAGTAGAATTGGTGCTTGAGGCAGCCTCAAGTTGTTGAGATTTCCTGTTTGGTGGTAACTTAATAACTCTTGTAGCCTCCCCACTTGCAGTTGAGATTTAGTAGGATCCTTACTGTTCAGGCTCCTTGTCACCTTTTAGGCACTTTCCTTCTTCCTAGCTGCAACACTACTCCTAGGAATATTTTCTTACCAGAGAAGCAAATAAGATCCTAGAATTTTAATGGCTAACTCCCAAATGCCCTACTGCTCATAATGTGTCTTTTCCACAGAAACCCTATGCCACAACGGAGTATTCCTGTGGCCTGCACACAGGCCCAGAGAAGCCAGGTAAGCCTGACTCACGACTTCTATTGCCCAGATGTCTTACAAACCTACCATAGTTCCTGGCCTGTAGGAGTCAGTTTATTAAAGGCTGTTGATTTCTTGAATCCTGATGCAGCCCCAGTGGCACTGATGGAGTTCTCAGTGACCTCGTCCATCCATGAATTTGTGGCTGATGTGTCTATAACCTTGAACTATGAGAATGTGGAGAAAATTCCTTTGGATGTCATCTTTGTGTTCCCCATAAATGAAGACTACACCATCTATGGTTTCGAGGCCTTGGTGGATGGAAAGAAAATTGTGGCAGAATTACAGGATAGGATGAAGGTACTGGGGATGAGGTCCTTATCTCTCCTTTCCCATTTCCTTAATGAATGCTCTTTAGGTCTTTATCAAATGCAACCTTTCATATGTGCTGGTGCTGAATGCTCTTCCCTCTACTACTTCAACTGTCATCTTCCTTAAAATCATTTGGGGTGAGAAGAATGAATCAGAGACATTTGAGGTAGAGCTGTGGAAGTGACAAGTCCCACCACAGTGTCTCCCCAACTGTGCTGGTTTTCTGCACTACTTATTCCTTCATTTGATGTTACAGTTATTTCCCATACCTCATTCTGTTCTCCTCAGGCCTACGAAAACTATGAGGATGTTGTTTCCCAGGGCCACCAGGTCTACTTATTGGAAAGGATGCATGCTCCAGTGATGTTTTTCACTGTAATGTGGGGACACTGAAACCTGGGACGAAGGTAGCACTCACCCTGAGGTATATGCAGGAGCTGTCCCTGGAAGCAGATGGTGCCCTGCGCTTTGGGCTCCCACCTACCCCAAAACCTAGATATCGTCTATCTGGTGAGTCACTCTTTTCTTTGAATACTAGTGGTGGCATAAATTTGGAAATTCCCTTTTGTTAAGGGATGTGCAAAAATGTATTGGCATGGAAAACAGAACTAAGGTAATATTTTGTAGATCGGCATGAAGACAGTGGCCTGGATATGAAGATTCCTATAGTGCCTTTGGAGGACCTGCTCTGTATGCTCATCATGCATGCCACCATTACCTCCAAGCACAACATTGAGAGGGTCCTATCCAACAATCCTGTGAGGTCTGTTTTTTACCGTTGACATGATAAGATTACTGCTAAGGTATTCAGTAAGAGAGTACCATTGTTGTCAGTACCCTGATCCTTGGGTGTTACTCTGGTCCTCATCTATCCCTTCTAAGATCTTCCAAACTTTCCATGTTCACCCAGAGAATGTGGTGTGGTGTTCCTTCCCTGACCTGCTTATTGTACAGAAATTTCTGTCTTGTGTCTGTTCCTGTTATACTCATTGTGGAAGAACTCAGAAGAACTCTGTAGAATTCAGCTTTGACCTCAGACTCAAGCAAATAGTGACTGTTCTAATGTGGCTATTCTCTGGTCTTTAACTCAGGTTTTCTTGGCTTCAGTACACAATGTTGATCAGTACTTGGAACTCCTGATTTACTACAGTGATGTGCACAGCCCCACTGTAGCTGTGGAGATGGGGATGCCTGGAACAAAGCCAGGTATTTTATATTCTCTCTTTGTAGTCACTTCTTATGTGGTTTGTCACTGTCTTGGAAATGCTTTCAAATTGTTCTCACTTTTCTTTCCTTCTATCCTGGACCAAGTAAAACAAATCACCATGAAATATTAAAAAAACCTTAAATTTCAGGATGCAAACAATTAGCTTTAATGATATCCTCTGTCTTGTCTTATAGGTGAATTTAAGTAGATTCTAAGGTAATTGTGCCTGAACACATAATTTATAAGAAAAGACACAGTCCTTCATGCAACATGTGATTATGATGTCTTGACATAAATGCAAATAAATATGATTAGTTGTGTGACATTTGTAGCTCTCAAAAATCAAAGATTACTAAATATAATAATCCTGTTTTAAAAGGCATGTGACTTTGGGACTTTTATAGATATCTTCCTGCAAAATAATTTGTATCAAGTGCTTCATGAGAAGTTTCGTCATATAATGTCAAAATAAATTCTCATTTTAGTAATTCAAATTTTGGGAATTATACATAGGGAAATAAATCAAAACACAAGTAAAATTTTACACTCCACATCACTTGCAATTTTAATGCTATCAAGTGTTAATGAACAATTAAATGTCTTATAAAGAGTGGTTGATAACTGGCCATCATTTATTAGATGACTCATTGTGTAGGTACCAAAATAATATACATTGCCAGATTCAAATAACTTGTAAAAGAGTCATAAATCATCCAAAAAATGATAGGAAAGAGAAAAGTAAATAAAACAGAAAACCACTACAAAATAAACTATGTATTAGCAAAAATCATTTAAAAACATAAGAAGTATGCAAGTAGTAATTGTGACTAGTTTATGTCAATTTGATTTCTAATTTATTTTTAATCTATAAATCACTTTTAAAAGATTGATTCGTCACACTTGTGTGTAATCTCACCTGCAGTTATTCTCTTATTCTTCATTTTTATTGTGGTAAGTACCAAATGATATAGCTACCATTTTCATAATTTTTAAGTGTGCAAGTTCATGGCATTTATATATTTACCTTCTTGTGTGACTTCAAAAACCATTCACTCCAGAACTTTCATCTTTCCCTACTTTCTTATTTTCTGAATTTATCTTCTTGATAAATTCAGTCTTTGTTTCTTTAACAACTCAAATGTTTTAAATGTTCCTGAATATGGATGTACCTTTCCTTATAATTAAGCTACCCCAGTCCCTGTCAGTCTGATGCTCACTTGGGTCTTCCTGGTCTGCTATGACCTGGGTTGCAGGGAAGATGAGGCCAAACAGGAGGCAGACTGCCACTGTGGATTTTTCTCATTATAATGACTGACCATGGTGACTTCACACATGAGCTCACAAATGAGCACTCCTACTTTCACCTTGTTGTTCAGTCAGTTCTCTTCAGGGAAAGCTGTCCTTTCTGAGGTAACTGAGGAAATCCCAGTCTCTACCAGGTTTGCTGTAACCAGCTCCTCTCCCACAGAGCTCCATGCTCTTTATACACTAGTTGCCTCATTTTTCTTTTCTTTCTTTGGGTTCCTTCTTGGGTATTCATGAAATGCATGAACGTTTACCTAGTCTTCAGTCAGGGTTGTTTTAGTCCACTTCAGAACATTTCATGAAGTCAGATCTCATCTACTAAGAAGTAAGGTCTCAGTCTCTTTCCTTCTGACAGGTTCTCTTGGCTCCATGCAGATTTTCTCATCTGTTCCCTGTGACCAGCTCTGCAGGCCACAGGAGGACACCAGGTAGAGCTCCATTACACTTGTGAATCCCTTCCAGCTGTGCACTCAAGGCCCATTTCCTATGTTTGATCTACATGTCTTGCTTTTCTCATGATACAGTGAGGCAAATGATAGCCTATGTGTTAGCTACACTCAATAAGACCATACAGTGTTGAGCTGTATGAAGTATTATAATCATGAATAAATCATATTAAATTAGCTTCAAAATGTAATTTAAATTACAATTTTATGGAGTAATGTTTAAAATCAAATATATGATTTAATAAAGAAACTAAAAATTTGAAGTCACTTTTATAAAATTATAATTTAAAGGTTACTCTGAATTGAGCCCTAATTTGATTCCTTGAATGTATTATATCACTTTACGCATAAAATACTGTTGAGGTAGGTAGGATTGTTTTGTAATTTCTGATCAGAAAACTGATCAAAGCACATTGTATACGTGTATGAACTGTGAGGATACAATTTTTTGTAAATTTAAAATATGCCAATAACTTTAAAAATAAAAAAACATGAGAGTAGCATACATAAACACTAAGTTTGAAATGTCTTATTTAAAAACAAGAAAGCTGAGAAATGGGGAGTAAAATAATTTGAGTCAGGATGAAAATTTTGAAGCACATACCACACGATTGTACTTATAATATATTGGCATTATTTTAAGCTGTTAGATAAATTAACTCAAATCTTTCTCTTGGTGATGTTTCTCACTTAGTATAGTGCCATCTATCTAAGGGCATGGGAAGGTATATAACTTACACATGAAAAGTATGGTACGATTTCATTTTTCCTATAGAAACCTGGATTGTGTAAGCATTGTTTTTCAACCAGTATACTATCAAATATTTGCTGGGGGTCACCCACTTTATTATCTACCTTGTTTGAATTTGGAACTAACCCCTGGAAAAGGGATTAACCTGAGCCCCATCCTGTGGTCAGACTGAATCCCAGGGCTACTGAGAACTTAAAACAATCATTCTGAAACCACTTTTTGCAAAAGCAGGATAATGGAATTTAACTCTGAGATCTATTACATTCTCTCAACTGTAAAACTAGAATAATATAACTCAGTCATTTTGGTGCAATCCCCACCCAGTGTCTCAATGTCTGCATCCCTATTTACTTCCTTCTTAAAATCTTACCAAACAAATAACAACTTACCTCATATAATAAATCACCCATCTCACTTACCCCAATGTTTGAATGAGAATGTTAGACTTTAACATGAATTCCAGGGCCTCCCTTTCTTTGGGAAATATGAGTGCATACTTTGGAGGATGTACAAATACACTGGCAAGTATCATGCTTATAAATAAATGCTCTTGTGATTCATCAGTTTAAGATTTATAGACACAAATCTGAGTGGCAGATCACATCTGTAATGTCAGCATTCTGGAAACTGAGCCAGGAGAATCCTGAGTTTAATGTCAGCTTGGGTTATGTGTTGAGTTCAAGCCAGCAGGGACTACATAAAAAGACCATGACTCAAAAAACCAAAAACAGGAATTATGCACATGATTATCTCTTCAAAGATAAAATTAAAGACTTACCAATGACACATGTGCTAAATTTATCATTGACTTGAGGAATAGGTCAAATAAACTGCGCATAAACTTGTGCATTTCTTTGGACAAATGCTAGAAAAATTTCACCTATTGTATTTCGTTCATTTGTTGAGCTGTATGGAAATCATCCAGTGAAACTGTTGTCATTGTTACTTGTGTATGATAATCTCTACTCTCTTTTCTTTCTCTTTCATGCATGCTATTTTTATATTTCATGTGTTTATAACTTACATCTATCCCTTTTCAAGCAGATAAGTTCATGTGGATTAAACACAATGTTTTAGATGTGAGTTTTTCCATCTCACTATTGAATTCACTACAATTGATTCTTGGGGACTTTAGGATGTTTCAGTTTCTTTTTGTCATACAAGGTATTTATCCTTTCTGTGTAGATAGTTTAGTGGAAGCTCCATGTGCAATGGTGAGTTTCTATCCAGATTTCCGAAAAGTTGAGGGATCAGTGACCTGTGGAGAATTTGTCTTCCTTGTGGACTGCTCAACGAGGATGGGGAGAACCCTGAGTGACAAGGATGGAGCTCAGCTGCGCATAGAAGTTGCCAAGGTAATTTCAGCTTCTTTCTTGTGCATGGGTCACATGCTTATGTGAGGATGAATCCAATGGGTTCAGTTAGGGTCCATTTGTAGCTGTATGGCTATTCTCCATATGAGCAACAGCAGTAGTGACCAGTCTGAAGCTAGCCTTGGGATTAAAGGTGACATGAACAAGGGTAACAGAACATACCCTAAGGGTTAGTTTAGGGGTATGTGTGACTGAGAAGGTCCTCTTACACTTTCTCCTCAACTTCTCTCAACTTCAGGAAACACTGATTCTGCTTCTGAAGAGTTTGCCTAATGGCTGTCATTTCAACATCTTTCTATTTGGATCTTCCTATGAGGAACTCTTTCCATAAGTTTCTAGAAAGGGCATGGAAATCTCAAAAAGATTCTTTAAAAAAGGAAACCATGTTGTTAAAGGATTTAGTGCAGAATGGACCTAGGAATAGAGGGTGTAAGTTAGGATTGCTATGTTATGGGGATTCTCAGAATGGACAGCATGTAGCCACCATCATGTAACCAGGGCTGCTTGTTTGTCTCAGAGACAGTGTGAAGTATAGTCAGAAAACAATGAAGAATTCAGTGGAGCGAATTATGCTTATGTCTGCAACATTTCGGGGCTCTAATCTTTTGACACCACTAAAGAAAATTTGCAGGCAACGACCCATTCCAGGCCACCCCTTTCAGGTAAGAAGTGCAACAGAGCTAACAGAAGGGATATAGAAAATGCATATTCAGTTCAAGAGTCTATGGCACTGAACTTTATTGTGTGGCTAATATATATGATCTGTAATTCAATCTTCTATGATACAGAAAAACAAAATAAACACAATAGGCATTTGTCTTCTTCCTTAAGTACAATGGAAATTCTTTAGTGAAGTGCCACAAAAAGCATTAGATGAAGGTAGTGTGGAGAGTACTTGAAAACTCCCATGTATCTGAACAGACCTAGTGCCAACCTTGTGCGGGTGACAATGGAACACTAGCATCACACACTTGTTTGAAGAAGCCTCACAGCTTCTGTGATGAAACACTTTTTGTATCTCACAGTGAACTTGACAGAGGCTTGATGAGTGTTTCCTTTTTTTTGTACAGCTTTTCATCTTCACAGATGGAGAAGTTGCTCATATGGATCATGTAATCAAAGAAGTTAAGTTGTACAGGAAGAAACATAAGTATGAGGATGCTGTTATTTCCACTGTGGTGACTGGATCACACTAGTGCCACCTCATGATTCCAGGGTTGACTTGCTTTCAAAAGGTGAAAAGCTTGAAGAATTTTGGTTTTACAATTGCTGATGTATTTTCCTCTGATACTGTTTTCCAAATACTAATAACAGTAGAAAAAACTCATTGTCTTTCTATTTTCTAAACCACAGAACAAAGAATTGGATACTGTTATTTTTTACTACAAAGATCTCTGACAATTGAACCATATGGAAAAGTATACAAATTAAAAATATCTAGTCAGATGAACTATCACAGTGAGCACATTGTGAAACCTTCACACAGGTCTAGAAGTAGAATGTTATCACAGATCTTCCTCTATCCCTTTCTACCATATCCTATTTCCAGTCATGATAGATTTATAGCTCTCCAGACATTTTTCTCTTTTCTTTTATTGTTTTTACAATTACTTACATGTGTATACATGTTTGGGCCACCTCCCCCCATTCCCCTCCCCGCTTCAAGGCAGAACCTGTTCCACCCTCTGTTCTCCAATTTTGTTGAAAAGAAAACATAAGAGATAATAAGAAAGACATATCATTTTTACTAGTTTGAGATAAAGATAGCTATACAGAGAGATTCCTAGTGTTGCTTCCATGCACTTGTGTATTGCATCCTACATTGGTTCATCTCTGCCAGACCTCTTCACTACTTCTTGGTCCCCTTCCCATAGTGGCCTCTGTCAGTTTAAGATTACTATATTTGCTCCTCTACAGTGAGCACATCAACCACATTAAAGTTTTAGGTTTCCTTCCCTTTCCTTATTCCTCCCATGTGAGTTCTCTTGTTAGTGTGTGACCCATGTCCAATAATATTACTGCATTTGTTTTGGGTCTATAGTTCACATATGAGGGAGAATGTGGTTTTTGGCCTTCTGAGCTGGTTAACTTTGTTTAAGATGTTCTCAAGATCCATCCATTTGCTTACGAATGACAAAATTTTATTCTTCTTTATGGCGAGTGAAATTCCATTGTGTATAAATACCCCATTTTTGATCCATTCATCAGTAGTAGGGTATCTTAGGTGTTTCTTTAGCTTGGCTATTGTGAATAGTGCTGAAATAAATGTAGATGTGTAGGTGCTTTTATAATAACTTGAATCCCATTCCTTCAGGTATATCCCTAGGAGATTTATTGCTGCATCATATAGTAGATCTATGTGTAGCTTTTTAAGGAGCCTCCATATTGTTTTCCCAAGTGGTTGTACTAGCTTATATTCCCACCAGCACTATGCTACATTTGGGCTTACTTTGGTAACATAATAAATGAATTATGATCTATGTGTTTCTTTCTGTATGCATTGAGCCTTCCCTTGCTTTCAACATTGTGTTCAGATTCAAACATACTTTACACATAGCCAGATAATTTTCAGTAATATATATATATATCATTCCATGGAATGACTACACTATAATTTTATTGCTTCTAATGCTGATATGGTCTGGTTTAGCTGTTAAAATAATACTGATGGGAGCATGTTTCTTATACCTGTGATTTTTGCTCATATCTATGTAGTAGGCCAACCATTTCAGAGAGTTCTACATCCCTGAATTCAATTTTATACATCATTTACATTGTAATCAGTATTGTAATAATCTAAAGATGATTTAAATTATACAGGACAGTATGTGTAAGTCATATGCAAATGTTGCACTGTAATATATAATATACTAGAGCATCTGCATTTTACTATCTCATGACTCTTGGATACTTATAGACAGCTTTACATACATATTTATATACATGCACATTTTTTAATAATCTGGGGAATGCTACACAGTTTTCTAAGTGCTTAATACACATCAGCCTTATAGATGGTTCTAGTGCCTTATTTCTTATGCAAAATATGGTATCAACTCTTTTCCAATTTTAGCCAGTTTTGTCCCTGTTAAGTGGTGTATCATAATGCTTTCTACTGACATTTTCCTGGTAATTCAACTTCATTCACTTTTTACTAGCAATTTGAATGTCCTTTTTTGTCATGTACCCTCCATACTCTTTCCTGTTTTCAATTTTTCTGTCAGATTTTCTGTTCTTACTGATTTGCTGTTCATTTCATGGTCTACATAAAAACACATTGTTGACTCTACGCTCTAGAAGTAGTTTTTATTAATCTATGGATAGCTTTTTTTGCCCTTAAACTAAAAGATTTTGAAGAATAGTTATTCTTCATTTTTCTTTATGATAGAGCTATTGTATACTGTCAAGATCTTTCTGCACACAAATTCGTGAACATATTCTCTTTTCTTTGATTCAAGAAGTGATATTGTTTTTTCTTTTATATTAGGAATATAATATAGTCTGACTTATTTTTGTGTAGTGTGTAAAAACTCAACTGAAATATCCAAGCCCTAATATCTTCACTTGAAACTGGTGATACTAATGGTGCTTATCTGGCAGCAATGAGAGTTAAAAGAATAAAAGTACATAAAATAGCAGAAATTGCTTTATATAATATTAGTGTTATTTAAAATGCTTGTATTATTGGTTTTTGTTTGGTGCACATGTTCTGTGGTTAGGTAAGACAAACATCCTTACCTTGAAAATAGCTTTCTAGGACAGATATGTGTAGGACAATGTCCAGTAAGCACTGGTTCTGGGGTCTCATTTACAAAATGACACTTGAGACTTCTTTTTAGAAAATTCATATAGTTATTTTATTATCATAAAATATAGAATATGCTTAATAACTGTGGGTAAAATTACATCTTTGGTCAAGAAAATGGACAATTTTCATATAGTTTTTATTATTCTGTGATAATTTGCCTCTTCCACTCTTATGCACTTGTCTCTAATCCCCATCTCTTTACAATTACAGACGTTTCTCATTTGGTGTTGGAGGAGGTGCCTCCATGAGCTTTATAAAAAATATTGCCCAGATATCAGGGGGCACTTCAGAGTTTGTCACAGGTAAGAACAGGATGCAAACCAAGGTGAGGGTCAGGACATGTGTCTAATAGTAGAGAAATTCAGTCCAAGTAACAAACAGCATGGGGACACTGCTTCTAAGGAAGGAACTCATTTGCCTCCAGGATGCATTTCACCATGTCAGCAAGACTTGGAGTATACACATAGTAGAGCAACTCTTCAAATAATAACAGAGAGATCCAGTATAATATTTGAATAATGACATTTGGCCCTACAATCTTGAAGCCCAGAGAAGAGAAGCAGCTGCACCTTTTTAAGACAAAAGACAGAGAAAGTAAAAGCTTTGACTCTCACAGTTGAGATTCCAGGTCACTGCTTCGAATTTGCTGCTCTTATTACAACCTATTCTCCATTGGAAAGATACAAGTCAAAGGAGAAAGAATATTGCATTACATGTATATACAAGGAGAAAAAAATCTTTGGTTATATTTCTAACCCTTTTTTTCCCAGTCAGTGCTGTCTGTTTTCTAATTTCGTCCTTTAGGGGTCTCATTTCCAAATAGTAGCTTCTATCACATTTGTGTTGTAAGATCTCTCAGATTTGTCTTCAACATGTGAAAGGAGGAAAAATAATGGCTATCTCCAGTATAGCATTAAGTATTAGGCCCATCATATATTGTGTCATATAGGCCCTGATACATAATACCTATTCTGTTATTAGTAACTGTCATTCTCATCTGTTTATGATTTTTCTGCTCCGTATCCTCCATCAGGCTCTTATGTCCCTGAAGTGTTCACTGCAGTCTGTGATTGAAGACATTAGTCTCAGCTGGCATTTGCCTCCTGGTCTGTCTGCTCGCATGCTTTCCCCAGAGCACACTGCCATCTTTAAGGGTCAGAAGTTAATCATCTATGCCCAGCTGACTGGGATTATGCCAGTGAGTTCCCTTTCTTGTTCGCTTTTCTTCTCAGTGTAGGTAGAGTCCTCACAATTTCATTAGAGCTGATAAGTGGCAATAGATTTCAGCAAAAGATTGCAATTTCCAGGTAGAGCCAGCCTATCCTCTTCTCATAATTTTGGGTCCCTGGTTTCACGTGACACTTGGTTCTAAATCAGAAATTTTATTGTGTTGAATCAGGAAACTGTCTAAAGTTCCCACCCTTTTCCTAGTAATCTCTCTTTTTATTCCTTCTGTTCTTCTCTAATTTGTAGGCAGCTAAGGCTTCTGGAAAAATACACGTCAAGTACAAACTCCAGAGCAAGAGTTTTGAGTGTAAAGTGACATTTTCTCTGGTACCCAAGCAAGATGACAGGTGACAATTGAGAGTCCCTTCTTTTCTTTCCCTTTTCTTTCTTCTTTTTCCCATTCTTGTCTGCCTTTGTCTATGCCTTCATTTCCTTTCTTTCCTTGCTTGGTCAGCCTTGGTAGTTGGATTTATTTTCTTGACTTTGTCTCAATTATTTTATTATAAGTACTTTTTCCTTTCTAACCCTCTTTAGTTTAATGCTTCCTTTATCTGATGTTTTCATTTTTTTAATATTCTTAACTTTTAAGAGCCCCATTAACTGGCATGTGGTTGTTTTTCACTAACTGTCAGGAGTTTTTTTTTTTTTTTTCCTTTTGGTTTCATCATTCACAGTCTTGCTGTCAAGTCTTTTATCCAGCCCAAAGACTTTGGCTCCAAGGAAACCACAGAAAAAGATAAAGAAGATATGTTCAATATTAGCATTGAGTCTGGAATCTTGAGCTCCTTTACAGCTTTCTTTGCCATAAATGAGGCGATCAACCAACCAGTTCAGGAGCCCCTGACTCTCAGAGAAACTCCAATGACAATTTTGTTGGGTCCTATGTGTCTGATGTCAAGAATGGGGGAAGGAGGTGAGTTTTATCCCATTTAACCTCATAATGATTAGGGGATCCTGATTAACTGAACACATTATTGAAAAGATTGTGAAAGTTTATTTGTTTTGTTTTCCATGTTCCTTCATATCTAGATATTCTGGCTTATTTTAGCTATCTTGTTCCTTGGAAGTAGAATATGTCCCTTTTTCAGGATATTTCATATAAAAGGGTATAGAGGAAATAAAGAATAAGAAAATGTAGAAAGTACAGTTAAATATTTAATATTTAAACAGTTCAAATCTGAAGCCAATTTCTACTTGATAATTAGATAGTTCATGACCACACACGGCTGATCAATAGAAATGCCTCAGACTAGAAATGATAGAAGAGAGTATTTGGGAAAAAGGTAAAAATTCCAAAAAGCCACTGGGGGCATATGGAAAATAGAATATCTAGAGAAAAAGAGAATCATTTCAAAAGGAATACTGAGGGTTCTGTTTAGTTTGGGTACCTTCACTTCTCAGTAGGACCAAACTACTAACCTTGGTGTATATGATTTACTTTAGTCACAATTAGCAATTTTGGTATAAGAATGCTTAGGTAGTGTATTAACTTAATTTTAGTAGGGTGATGTTGCCTGATGAGTGTGATTAATAGAAATTAGGAATAAGATTTTAGTACAAAATATGGTAAGTGTGCAAAATGGTCTTGAGATGCAGGCTGACTATAGCATAAAGTAAAGATGTAAGGAAAATAATGTAAGGAAAATAGAGATACTGATGACTATTTTTTGATGAGGTCAAAGATCATGTAAAACAGCAATGTCTGAGTCAGAAATATGGAAAAAACTGGGTATTGTATTTGAAAAGTAAGATTTTTCTTCAATTAATTTTCTATAAGTGGAACACTTCTACATTATAACAAGCTTGGTGTGACTTGGGAGGGTGTGACTGAAGTAAAATAGAGCCAAAGTCATTGAATTTCAGGAAGTCAAGATTTTCATGGAGATGTTGGCTACACTACCTAGATGGACCCTAAAGTCTGTCAAATTGAAGGCAGAACTGGAAAGGGAGCACAAGTCTGTGTTCTGGCTTTCGAATACTTCACTGTATTGCAGGCATAATGCAGAGGTTAAGGACCGATAATAGTGAATACACAAGGACTCTCACCCAAACAAGATTAAGAGAATAATGATCTTCATCCAAGAAGGTTTCTTACCCTACCTCCCAAACCTAGGTACTTGGAATGGAATATATTGATCAATAAACTTTTGAGAGGAAAAAATAGTTTGAGGGGGGAGGATAAATTCATTTTAAGACTTAGTTGGAAAGGGCCTCAGATGCAGCTAAAGGTGTTGGATCAGTAGTTTAATATGTTTAAACAATATCAAAGGACATAACAGAAAGTAGAAAGGGAACACAGAGGGTGGGTGTATGTGTGGGAGGGAGGCTTATGGGAGAAGTATGGTATGATACAGATGGTGACTGAAATTAGTATGGAGAGGAGATTTTGTGACTTAAATCAGCAGACTATCATTTTTGTTGTTGCAGAGAGAAATGATTTCTCAGTCTCAATGTGTGCCCTCCTGTTTTTCAGGGCATAATGGGTACTCCCAGGCTTGGACCTTCATCCAATGTGAATGTGCCTCCTAATGGAGCCATGACATCACAGCAAAATGGTTAGGATCAGCATAGTTTGATGAATCACAGTTGTCTTCATAATCTAAAAGAGGATCATGCCAAGAATACTTTCTCAACAATATTTATGTGTCACACATACAGGAGGAGGCATATTTAAAGTTGCTATTGATGGCCTGGAAAAAAAATATTCACTTCTCCCAAAGAGACCACCTGTGAGACAGAAAAGACAGATTCTAACACCAGTACATCCAGCTTGCAAAGTTCCCAAAAAGGTGAGATGGGAGGGCAGTTTTCTTATCTGATTTATAGGGACTGATGAAATAATCTTCAATATTCTGCTGCCATGTAGCTTTCTATGTCTAGGAGGTAAATGATTTGAAAAGGATCAGGCTGAAGGTGAGATTTGTCCAGTTCCTGTAATTACCAGGGTCAACTCAGCTTCCTTAGTTTACAATTTAGGACTTTGAAATCCTCTACCTTGTGGACTCTAAGACAATTTCCTCTTGCCATCTCTGCCTAGAAATACTTCTTATAGGCAGGTTCTTGCCCATTCAGAGCTGTGTCACCATCCTATTTGTTCAACTCGTCATCCTTTCACAAATTGGTTTTGTAGATCTGGAGTCTGTCTGATGACTTCTCTCTGGATCACTTTTGCTGAATTAATCAACATATTTCAAGGATGCTAAGAGGCCAACAGCTCCATCAAATCCTATCCTTTCACTCTTGTTCTTTTTCAACTCTTCCTTCTCCTCTTCCCCCTCTTCCTCTTCTTGTTTCTCCTCCTCTGCCTCCTCTTTCTTCTTCTTCTTCTTCTTCTTCTTCTTCTTCTTCTTCTTCTTCTTCTTCTTCTTCTTCTTCTTCTTCTTCTTCTTCTTCTTCTTCTCTCCCTCCTTTTCCTTCCCTCCTCCTCCTCCTCCTCCTCCTCCTCCTCCTCCTCCTCCTCCTCCTCCTTCTTCTTCTTCTTCTTCTTCTTCTTCTTCTCTCTCTCTCTCTCTCTCTCTCTCTCTTCAATCTCCCTATCCCCAAAGATTTTCAAAAGGAAGATTTTGTGCAGCTGATTCACCTCCAAAAAGCAAATCGTTCTTGGGACCTAAACGAAGATCTAGCCAAAGTTCTAGAAATGACACTGGAAGACATTGAGGCTGAGTGCCCTGTCAAGGTAAGATTAAAAGAAAATCAAACAATTTTTTGCTGGTTTTGAGAGAGTGTGGTTGATAATGAGAATTTGACTATATCATGACCTTTCTGGGAAATGAGAATATAGGAAATCATAGACCAAATTAATTTCTAATGGACAGAAATTCAAATTATGGTTATATAGGTGCAGAAAAATAAAGAATGAATGGGCTAGCTAGGGGATTATGAGGTAAATGCTGATAACAACAAAGGCAAATCAAAAATCCTCAGCTACTCTTGAGTAAAATCCTTATTAGTAATCTTTATACAAGAAGTAAAAATTAGTAAGCTCATACTCTGCCAGGCACTGTGTTAAGCACTTAGCATTCACGATCTTGTTAATTCCTCACTCAATTAAATAAGTTAGATCCTGTGCATGTTTCTGTACATAGTAAAATAAAGATTGCACAATTTTAATAATGTGTGTGAGACTGTTAGTGGGAGAACTGGAGGCAAGAACAAACCAATTACTACTCTGCTTCCTTCTAAAGGATTTGCTCAGAATTTAAGAGAATTAATTTAAGTCAAGGTAGACAACGCACCGGTGTGAGCCATCTACTTATTTCAGTATTTAATTACATTTGCTGATGAGCATAAACTGCATTCAGAGTTTTAATTTACCTTGATTATTTATCTAATACTCATTGATAAACGGTTAACTGTAAGACACAGCTCAAAAACAGGAATGACAAATAGGATTCTGAATTTTGAAAGTATAGAAAGTGGTTAAACCTTAAATATTCTATAATCCTACTGTCCATACACTATGCACTAATTATATTAGCTGCTGAGCCTTCAGAAAGTGGCCACTGCAAATAAAATCTTTTTAATTGAATGGGGTTGTACTTTATTGTGAAATACGTTTTTAGTTCCAAGAGTTATCATAAAATTGTAAAATTTTTCATAAAAATATTTTACAGTGATAATTCTTTTTAGCATATTGGGTAAAATAAAATGTATTAGTAGCTGGGGTATAGGTCACCAGTACAGCAAATACTTAACATGTACCAGGAATTCTGTACTAAACACCAAAATTAAGATAAAATCATATAAATTAAAATAGTCAAATAACATAACCTGTATTTTTTACTTCTTTAAAATATAGTTATTGTAAAACATAAAATATCACATTTGTCTAGCTTTGCATTTCTATTGGAAAATGCTATTTTATAGTCACTTGCAAGAAGACTAGGATTGTAAAGTACTACCTTAAATTCACTGAGAATAAGATATGTCTGACTGACTTCCTTCTCTCAAACAATAACCATACCAACAAATGAAAGGTGTCTAGAATCCTATTTATTTTGAATTTTAGAATGCAAATTGACTGTTCTTCAAATGATGACTACATTGACCAAGTATAATGTAGTTGAAAACCCACAGCCCTGATTGCAAGTTGAAATTTATTTTGAAACTAACCAAGCTCTGAAATTTTTTATAGGTCAGTATTTTCAATGAAAATTTTTATCATGATATAGAGGAAATTTTTTAAAATTTTAGATGACAAAATTGGGAGAAAAAGTATTAGACAAGAGAGTCAGGATCCCAAAATACCTCAGAATGATGAGTTGCAATATACTTTAAAAGCCATAACAACAAATATAGGAAGAATAAAAGTTAAGTGCTGTTTTTCATTCTATAGTCTCTCACAAGTAGAGAAGAAATCATACTGACTTAAACTCAGATGAATGTGAAAATCAGAGGTTTTCAGAAGGCTATAGATAGTGTAAGACAGCATATTTGAAACAAAATTAGTGGAATCATAACATTACTGAAACAGCAAATGTAACCTGTTGCTATGATCCTAGAATTTCGAAAATATATTTACCTCTAGATGTGACCAATTCAGGAGCTATATTTCACAGCTCATTGTGACCTTTGATTATGGACTAGGAAATCCAGCATGAGGTTCTTAATGCTTTTACTTAAGCAGTCATCTTATGAAAGAAATGAGGGAAATAGATATTTTTATATGAAATGAAACCATCCATAGAGGGCAGTACAGCTGTTTCCAAATGTAAAAATTCATGAGGATATGAGATGTAGCCCAGTGACATAGCATTTGCCAAACATGCATGATGTGTAGAATTAGATCCCTAGCACAACAACAACAACAACAAAAATAAGGAAAGAAAGAAATTAAGAAAGAAGAAAAAAAGAGAGAGAAAAGAAGGAAGGAAGGAAGGAAGAAAGAAGGAAGGAAGGATGGAAGGATAGAAG